GTGGAGAACGAGAGGTAAAGCTGGGTATCATCAGCGTATTGATGATTCCGCAGCCCACACCTCCTGATGACCTCTCCCAGCGGTTTCATATAGATGTTAAATAGCAGAGGGGATAGAATGGAGCCCTGTGATGAGGAACAGAACTATTGGACACCATAATGTCTGCCCTCAAAGTCTCTTTTATGCATTTCATACTCTTTCTCTCATCCCATAGATGGTGCAGAAAATCAAAGAGAAACATCTCATTGCTCAGAGAGCACCTTATGTTAACTTCTTCCTGGACCTTGCAGTGCCTCCAGATCATTTCGGAGATGCTGAAGTTCACTGTTTAGACACTGAGTGGTACACTTTGAATTACTTGAACAATCTCAAAAAGATAAATACTTCTAGCTTCCAGGCACTCCTTAATCAACAGAATTTAAAATAGTACCTGGAAAACTTAGATAGTATAGGAGCAGCATAAAGGTACTCCTTTGACTGAGTATGCAAGAGCTTTTTGGCTGTTTGCAGGAAAATTTCTTCTTTGGTCTTAAGCCCAATTAGCTGCACTGAGAGTTCTCAGCCCTCATCAGCATATGGTATCACTTGAATCACAGCTCAGTGAGCTCTCATGCACACACTCAGAGATGGATTTCTTTGTGGAAACCTGATTTGGTATTTAAGGCCTTGCTCGGAAATCATTTTTGACCCGCTTGGATCTCTTGCCTCGCCATGTGCACACGGGCCTGTTGCTGCTCACTGTGCACACATGCACCCTCCACCGCCTCACCAGCCTGTGCCTGGAGGCACCCCTGCCTCACTGGCCCGCACCTGTCACTGCCTTTCAACTGGCCCCCTGCCGATGGTGGAGGAGGGCGCGGGGAGTCCAGAACCTCTGAGGTGGGCTGGATAAATGGGCATGGCTGTAGTTTGAGGATCCAAGCTATGAACCTTGGCTTTAAGGCTCTTGCCTCTTTTCAAGCCCTTGTAGGGTCCTTCCCATACATGCAGACTTCTTTTGACACATCAGGATATTGGAGATAGCTCTTTCAGCAGAAAGGGAACTTTGCATTTTCATCATTGTAAAATGGTCCTTCACTGAGAACACACATTAATAATCTCAGCATTCCAGAGCAGAGTAACTAGAAGCTTGTTTATTTAAACCGACCATAGCAGTTGCCACCAAAATTTACCATCTAACCAGTTTTTTTTTGGGGGGGAGGGGTGGTTTGGCCTAATGCTGTAGATTTTTTTCTGGTGATGGGGCATGCAGCCCATGGGACGCACTAAGGATTTAGTCCTGGTTGCCTCGTACTGTGATGCATTCTCCCTGAAACTGCCTCTAAAGTTGATCCAGAATGCTTCCAAGACTCCTTACATGTATCTGTTGTGGGGAACATATAATACTGATGTTAATGCTATTGGTCAATCAGGGTGCTAGATTTGAGTTTTACAATTCTAAACCATCTGGTCCTCCTATATTTCTCCTCCCAAGACATGCACACTGTGTAAAAGATTGCCTAGAGCACTTGCCTAGTATATGTGCCCTTGCCATCTAAAATTATAGTTTACTCAGAATTTTCAATTTAGAACAATTTATACTATGCCTTATTAGCCAAGGCTAAGGCCTCATTTGATGGCACCTTCCCTGTGGAGTTCTCTTACCTATGGAGTCTGGCCTTTTGTCATTAAGGCAACAGGTGCAGTCCTATGCATGCTTTCTGGAAGTAAGTTCCATTGTAGGACTAACTTCTCATTAAATATGCCTAATATCTGGTTTTAAGTTCTACCTATAAGAGGGTATGTACTATATGAAATATAGAGAAAGAGAAGTCTTATTGATTTAGCATTTCCCCCATTCCATTTCCTATCACATAGGATATATCAAACATCAGTTTATCAACACTTTAATTTTGTTTTATTTGTTCACACAAACCTATGCCTTTCAGATCATTGAGACACTTGCTGGTATGCAGCACTGGATGGTCTGTTTCACATTAATGTGGCACTAATGTGTAGGTCTCCTGCTGTTCATTATTGATGCAAAGAACCAAAATGACAATAACAGCAACACAAACAAAAAACCTAACCCTGTAAACTGTTTTAAATTTGATATCCAGATTGATCAAGATCAGGTGTTCTGGTTTTCTCTTAAGTTCGTTCTGCTCGGTTTACTTCTCTTTACAAGTATTAATACTCTGAAAAGTATAAGGGATTGTTTCCTTATTGTAGCTGTCAATTTTCACAAATTTCAACCAGAAAGAATCTTTAATGACATTCTTCTCCACCTAGACTGGCCTAACACCATTAATGGAAGCTGCTTCTGGTGGATATGCAGAAGTAGGCAGAGTTCTTCTAGACAAAGGTGCTGATGTAAACGCACCACCAGTTCCGTCATCAAGAGACACAGCTTTAACCATTGCTGCAGACAAAGGGCATTACAAGTTCTGTGAGCTGCTTATTAGCAGGTACTATTTTTGATCCTCTACTTATGAGCTATTTTTATGTTCTTAAGGCAGTGGAAGAAAAATGCTCACTTTTTGATCCTAGTAATTCTGATTTTTAATTATTTTAAGTCAAGAAATTGGCATCCCCCTGCCCACCACACACACACTGTACACTAGTAAGAACATGAAGACCTGCTCTGATGAGAAATATTCCTTTAGAGGCATACATTTGTAAGGTGCTGTTTTCAAATAACTTCAGTGTTTCCTCCACTGATGAGTCTTTCCTGCCACCCCGTAAAGGTATAAAAAAGTTCTATTCTGAAATATTATCATCTATATATCTGTTTCCATCATTTTTATTGTGGAGAGACTACAATGGAGGAAAGCAATTCATCCTAAGAAATCCTGCTCTCAAAGCAGTGTAAATGTTGCTATGAATGTTCACCCTTATTTATAAAACTAAGGACCACCTTTATGCACTTATGAGTAGCCTTGCTTTTGCATGTCTCTTTACTCCCCCACACTGCATCCCAACAGTCAAGTAGAATAGAAGAGCAAAGCGTTGATGCTGCTGAATACATGTCCTGATTTTAAAATGCTACTATATTTGGCACTAATGAAACTGTTTTGGTTGTATTCACACTGGAATACAGTGGAAAGTCTTTCCACTGTAGGACTTTCTTGGTAGCCATAACAGAATAAGACATATCTGATGAAAGTCTGAAATTCAAGAATTACAGAAGCCAAATATTCCCAATGACAACTAAGTGTTTTGCACATTCACTGCAACGTATATGTATTCTGAATATTGAATTGATTATAGTGCCTCACTTGTCCAATCATCTCTTTAAAATTGTGGCCTTGCACATGTATGGTGTACCTTTGCTAAGAATTCATTTTTTCAGAACTGATCTGTCTCAGAGTTTTTCAGAAAACAATTATTTTATAAAGCACAGACAGGTAAGAAAATTCTAAAGGTAAGGAGAATTAATGTTATCCCAACCACCTCCTCCCATCTTAAATGAGTAGGTGTAATCAGTCATTCAATTTTAGATTATTATTTTTAATTCGTAGGAACTGAATTTCCAGTATTTTGACCAAGCTTTTGTTCTTTCATAGGGGAGCTCACATTGATGTCCGTAATAAGAAAGGAAATACTCCTTTATGGCTTGCCGCTAATGGTGGTCATTTAGATGTTGTCCAGTTGCTAGTACAAGCAGGAGCAGATGTAGATGCTGCTGATAACAGAAAAATAACTCCACTGATGGCAGCTTTTCGAAAGGTAGGCTAAAGAATGTTTATTCTGCTTTTAATGTTCTGAAAATTCAAATGTACTGTGATCGTCATATAACAAGCTGTAATGATTTAAAGCATCTGTCCCCAAACTTGTGCCTTCTGGACACATTTGGACTTCAACATGCAGAATTCCCGCTCAGTAGCCCTGCTGGATGGGAATGCTGGGAGTCATGGTCCAGATGCCTCTGAAGGCCACCAGGTTGGGGAAAGCTGATTTAAAGTGTTACATGTTGTTCTTTTAAATGTTGGTAATTTTCAGAAGAGCAAGGTGGTAAAGTGGGGGGATGAGTGTTTGAGAGTACATGGACAGAGCTTGGAAGTGCATGAGGAGAGAGAAATAGACTTTCAGCCAGTCAGCAGTTAACAGTCTGCAGAATCTGAAAAGGCAGACTTCTCCTTAGAATCCTATATAGCACTGTGGAAGGCCCTGGAGATTCATAAAGACAAAGGGAAGGAAGTAGAATACATGGAGGACATAGTAGTGACTAATATTGTCAAGTATTATAAGGGTGTGAGATACATAAACTGACAGAAACCTGAGTGCAGAAGGGAAAGATTAAACTGAGAAAAATAAAGTACATGCAAAAGTGAAAGGAGAATTTGAGAGTAAGGAGTGTTTGTGAAGGGAAAGATTGTGATATCTCAGAAGTTATTAATATACACTCTTTTATTTACTAAGGAAATAGGTTACAGAACATCTTGAAGCCAATATGCTTTTTGTATAAATAAAGTTTTATTTTGTTTCTTGTTAACCCAGAATCATAGGCTGTTTGAATGAAAGTGCCTAACTTTCAGGAACACCGAGTCCAACAAAGGAGCCTTAAAGTTTGGGCACAATACTGTGGGAGAAGTTAATTGATAAGATTGGAATTAAATTCTTAGTGGCAGCATTACATACTACTAAGAGAAGGAGATTTCAAGAAAATTAAACACACTCCATATCTAAACATATTATAGGAGTATACTCATAACCCGAGCACAAGGAGTTAACAGAATAGAAGCTGAGCCTTCCATAGTTTTCTCAGGTTATATTTATATACATACGTACTTACCTGGAAGTTAAGTGTTGGAACACAGTGGGACTGTGGAAATACGATTAGAATTGTGTTGCCAGTATATTACAATCAATCCCCTGCTTCAAAAACTTGTAATATATATATTATAAATTTAGATATTTGTTTATATGCAGCACTGTAGTAGTCCTTCTGTAGTGAAATTTCTAAGAGCCTGATTTTTAGAGATAAACTTGATGATCACAAGGATGAAGGAAATGCCTTGCTGAATCACCATTGTACTTCTTGGTTTAGTCTCAGAATTGTTGGCTGTTTAGTCACAGAGTTGTTGGCCTTTTCAGAAAGTGAATTTACTCACTAAGTTTCCATTTTCAAATGTCACAAAGGAGACAGCCTTCATGTATTACTCTTTGTACTTACCAGGACAGGCAAGAAACATGTGATAAGGATTTTTAACCTTGGTCCTGGCCTTTGCAGCACCTTCCAGCCAGCTTGTTTTCACTTTTGCTGGGACACGGCTTGTTTTTCGTCGTGGCCTCTGTGCATCACACATATGGGTGCTGTGCCTGCACAGTGCCTGTAGCTGGGAAGATTTAAAAGCTTAATGGTTTTGGCAGGAACTCTGCACCCCTCCCCCCCACAGTATAAGAAGGCGGAGTGCCCACCATTTCCCAAGTCTTCTTGCAACCGCTGTTTGCTGTGCCTCGAGCCTTTTGTCTCTCAGTTCGTATATTGTGTATCCTGTTCTCCCTTAAACTGTTGTTGCTCTTAGCTTCTTGTTCAGATTTCCAAGTTATTATCCCTCCCCATTAGAAGTTTTCTTCACATTCCCCTTTCCCCCTTTTTCCCTGTTAACCCCCCCCCAAAGTTTTTCTCTTCTTAAATTTCTAAGCTTCGCTCTCTTCTCCTTTTTTCATTCTCGATGGCTCAGCGTGCGGCTTTCCGCAAGTGCTCTCAGTGCGGTTCTAAGATGTCTCCTACTGATCTGCACGACCTGTGCCTTCTTTGTCTCGGAGAAGGACACAGGACTGATAAATGCAGCTATTGCCAGGCCTTTACAAAGCAGGCACAGAAAAATCACGAGAAACACCTGCGCAAACTCTTATGGGACCAGGCCCTGTTTCAGTCTGATCAACTAGCAGGCCAATCCACTGCCAGCCCTCCTCTTCGGCTGCCCCTCCGCCCCGCCCATCGGCTGATGGTGCTATTCAGTCGGAGGGCAAGCTCTCCTCTAAATCTCACAAACAAAAGGAGAAGAGAAAGCGCAGTGGATTGGACAAGTCCTCAGGCCACAGGAAGCCTAAGAAGGACAAGGCAGACAAGACGGCTCACAAAACCAAGAAGGCCGATCAACCCTGACTCCGTGATTTGGGTTCGTCTGCTCAGTCGGTCCCGACTGCCGCTTCAGTACCGACACCAACCGGCTCTCCAATTGGTGAAGTAGGTGACTCTGCCAGGGTCCCCGCGACAGGTCGTCCCTTCCATCCTGTCCTTGCCAGAACACCAGGAGGCAGTCATGTTGGGTTCGATTTCCGATGGAGAGATCTGGGACTCTCCACAGATGGCTCCTCCGATGGCACGCTCGCTTACATCACAGCCGTTGCCTGAGACTTCCCTGAGGGCCCCACCTCAGCAGGTGCGATACCAGCGGATAGAGATCGTCCCTCTGGAGAATGGGTGTTAAGTGCCTCATGGATCTGCCCATTGTGAACCATGGGACAACTATGCACCGTACAGGTTCTATCCATCGGTACGCCACCGTACCCTATCTCTGGTCCCGAGGGATGCTCTGTCGATGTCCAGCACAGCTCAATCCAGGCACCCTTCTTTGCCAGTCGACTCCTCCTCCATTCCTCCGCTCCATTATGATTCTGAGTCAGAGGATTCGGACATAGCGTCCACTTCACCAGACACACTGATCACCACTCAAGGTCCCAGCTCACCTGAGGAGTCATACTCAACGTTTGGGGAACTGATTGGGCAAGATTGGCGAGGTCACTGGAGATGGAAGTCCAGCACCACTTTGATCCCAGTACCGATAAGTTTTACATCATCAAAAGTGAACAATCATTTTACTGCTTATTACCACATTTCGTCAGGCAATGATGGAACCGTGGAACTTCCCCAGTCAGCTGCAGCTGTCTTCACAACATTACGAATCCATGTTTCAAGTTCGTTAACAGGATATTCCATTTCTCCTGCGTCATCCTAGACCGAACACGATCATCGTGGAGTTGTCCCAGGGTCGTGAGTCGAGGGGACACACCACTCCTCGCAACAAAGAAGGGCTGAAGATCGACATGATGGCTCGCCTTATTTATTCTGCCACAGGTCTTGGCCTCCGGATTTCCAACTATGAGGCGACATTGGCTCATTACCAGTATTTTCTTATGCAAAAACTGGAAAATATCACAGCGTTGCTTCTGGAGCAGCAGAGGGACCTGGCCCATATTTTCACCAAAGGCAGTGCAGGTGGCAATCCAACAACTTTCCACAGCGAGACATCATGTCGATTGCGACTTGAGAGCCCTCGTTGGTGCTGTAGGCCTCCATTGCCATGCCTGGCTCCGAAACTGTAACATTCTGGATGCTCGGGGCTGTTCAATGCTAGGACGGACCACAAGATGAAGACAATTCACGAATCGCGTGTGACAGCTCGTCAGATGGAAGTCCCCAACCAGTCTTGACCAAGTGGTCTTGGTCCTGTCCTTTGTACTGGTATCAACCCTATACACAATTCTTTGGCCGGCAGCAGTTCCAGCCTCGATAGCAGTGCCGAAAGCAACCACCATAGTGCTTTCAACAGAGCCGTTGCCAACCGGATTCAGATAAATGCCGGCGTTGACGAGCTGAGCGAACCTCTTCTCTCCTGAACCCACCCTCCCCTCTTCCTTTTGGGGATCAATTGCAAAGTTGACTCCCCATGTAGGAGTCCATCACATCTGATCAGTGGGTTTTATCCATCATGGAGCACGGTTATAGAATCGAGTTCGATACCATACCCCCATCGGGACCAATCCGATATATGCCTCAGTCATTGGTTCTCAAAGACAAGGTTCAGCAGCTTCTTCGTAAAGAAGCGATCCGACAACTTTCACAATCTGAGGGGTTACACTGTTTCTACTCAAGATATTTCATGGTTCCTGAATGTGACGGTGGTCTTCGTCCGATATTGGACTTAGGTGGCGTCAACAAATTCATCAAGACTAAGAAATTTCGGATGACCACCCCTCAAAACATCCTTCCATTGCTCAGGAGAGAGGATTGGTTCGCTTCTCTGGACTTAAAGGATGCTTATTTCCGTATTAGCATCCACCCGTCTCACAGGTGTCTTCTTCGGTTTATGGTCGGTTCCGACCTGTTTGAATACAACGTTTTACCGTTTGGACTGGCTACTGCTCCACAGGTCTTTACTAAATGCATGGCCCTGGTGTGTGCACACCTCCGACTCATGTGGACAGAACTGTTTCAGCACTATCGGTACAGAGGTCCCTCTGACACATGGCTTCCACGGTCTCTTTGTTTTCGCATCCCAGATTACGGATGAGGCCCCTCCAACTTTGGTTCAACAGCCTCTTCCATCCTCAAAGAGACTCACCTCACCGACTCCTTCATCTCCCGACCTCCGTTGTCCAGACCTTATCATTGTGGGCTATACAAAACAATCTGTGTGTCGGCATTCCATTCTGCCCGCCTCATCCAGCACTGACTTTGTTCACCGATGCCTCCCTCACCTGTTGGGGAGCTCTGTGTGCTGGCCTTCGTACTGGGACCTGGGACTATGACGAAACTGCCAAACACATCAATTATCTAGAGCTACTGGCAGTCTTCAAAACCCTTTGGTCATTCAAGGATACCCTTCAGGGACAAGTTGTTCAAGTGGCCTCCGACAACATTGTGTAACTATATTCTATATGAACAAACAGGATGGAACAAAATCTACCTCCCTAGCTCATCTAGCTATGGAACTGTG